CACAAAAATATCATAAGTCGACTCTTTTCTTTGATATCGTCAACCAACTCTTTCGCTACAAAGAAATGCCGATATCTGGCCCAATAGAAGGGCACAACAAAACTAAGGTTTTCCAAAACTAAGGTTTTTCCCCCCAAACTCTCGACTATCCTGGCAAGAGTTCTCCTCTCACACTTACAATTAAATTTTCATTATCTAAAATGACTTGTCTGACTCCAATCACCATCATCATCATTTTAACCTTTGCCCAATTAATTGGGGTCGGCTACATAAATCTTGGTTCCGTCAATCTATTTGTGTGGCTTCAATAAAAGTCTTATTTATTTGACAAAAATACCCTTATACAATAAAAAAATCCATTGGAGTTGAATTCTTATCACCGATCTAACAAGCTCCACCTCAATATGAAATCATAGCCTTGCCTTGCAACTATATCTGGTTATTGTTTTGCTTTTGAATCTAGAGAACTTAGCGAGGGTCGCAAGCTCTTTAGCTAGATAACCTCCATGAGTATACCTTGCATATTTGTGATTATCCTTTTCATACATATTCCACCTTCTTCCACACTCTTATTCTTGAGTTCTTGAGGTCATCCCACCTTCGTAATCGCTTTAGGTGCAACTTTTCTCGAACCTTGCAAGCACAATTGGTTCTTGATCTCATATCTCTAATATCCTTAACATAAGTTGTTCCCACAAAGCCGTCTTTATGTTTATAACATTCGCAATACTTGTCTATACTTCTTCAATTCTAAAATACCCATTTCACTCTATTCAACAATTTTCCTCCTAGGTTAATAATAAGCCAATAAAAAAAACGATAAGCAAGTGAAATAAAATTCTTCGTGATATCCATGGCAATAATCGAAATCAACACTAGAGTTGCATATAACGCTCTTGTCACATTCACCCTTCATTCACCAAATTTTGAGTATTGGCTCAAAAGAAATTCAAAAGAAGCAAATATCTTCACTTCTTTTTGTGAAAGCCCCATGCCCTTACTTTTTCCACCATGCAAAAGATCTTTATCAACGCCTTGTTTTGTACCATCAAATTCTTCTAATACCAAACCATGTAACCCATGTCGAGCTTCTTTTACCTCCACAACCAAATGTACCCTTTCATTTACAATTACGCTCCTAACCATTTATGCAAGTTTCCTTTCCGAATTCTCTTCATTACAACTAGAGCCTCCTTTGAAATTATGAGTACTCAACTTTGCCTAGAAAATTTGTAACCTTCCATCTATAAAGAAGAAAGTGAAATCAAGCTCTGATTCAAATCTGGTACTGCCTCACAATTTCAAGTATCTGAACCATCCCATCATTCATCCTTATGCAAAAAGAGTTCGTATCTATCGTCTTCTCATTGAGTTGTTTCCTTTTGATAGTAATCCACAGTCACATAACTTATACACATCAAGCCATGATCTATGTGGGCAGATGATGTGTAATTCCACTATCAAGAACCCAACTCTGATTATACATGGGATTGCATCCTACCATCAACCACATCTTCAACATAACCGGATGTTGATTATTCAACTTGGTGAGCCTCATTTTTGGCCACCTTACCCTTCCATTCTTGAACCGGAATCCTTCGAGGATTCTACCCTTTTTCTTTTCCAAATTCATATGGCCAGGCTTGCCACAAAACTAACAACATTTGTCATAAGACCTCTCGACTTTAATCAGAAATAAGACTCGTCACTCGAGAAATTTCTTAATGAAGTACCCCATTCATCTAACTGTCATCTTGCTACAAGAATATCCATCCTTGAACCCATTAAATCATCCATCGATACCTTCTTTCGAAATTTATTAGTAAGAAATGTGAATCCAATTTGAGGTATTTTTCCTTATAACAACTAAAGTAATAACAAGATTGTCGTAAGACTTTGATAACGAATGACACTATATTACCACCTTCTCTTCCTCATCTACTTTCATCCGATACTCTAAAGTTGATAAATGAAGTTGTGGTATTCATTCAATTGTTCTTATACTTATATACTTCCACGTATAAATAATACAATTTTCTTTTTAAAAAAATTCAATTTGATTTGATTTGGTACAAGCTTTCTAACTTTTCCCATATATCTTTTGCCGCCCTTTCTCCTACTATATTAAATAGTACCTCATTTGCTAAATACAAATGAATAATGGTGTGCACCTTTCTACTTTTTAGCTTCTTGGATTTTCCTTGTAGTTCTTTATAAAGACCTTAGAAATATATCATGAAATTCTTTTTAGAGTTCAAAATCTTTTATTCCATCAAAGTTTTGTATCTCAAATTTGGAACGCGTCATTTCCCTAAAATCTACAGACTTCCCTTGAGCTCTGATACTATTTGTTGGGAACCAAGACTGCTCGATCACCCCTTGTTACAATAAAAACTCCCCAATACAATAAATCTAATACCTCAACAAACTTGCCTATTACCGGCAAATCGATTTTAAAAACTCAAAGAACCAAGAATTATATATGGTGAAGTAACATTTGGGGGGAAAAAAAATCAAGAGAAGCAAAATTAAGAAAGTTAAAATATATAATTTATAATCCAAGCACCAGCACCATCAAACACATGAATATTCGTAGTTCACTCTAATCTGGTTACATCCAAAGGCAACCAGCAAAGATAAATTCACAATTAATGAAAGAAATTACAAGGTTTATGAGTTTATACTTTATAGAGATTACCGTACAATGCAAAGAAAAACTCAAATTGATTTTTCCCTACCAAAAAAATACTATTAATCAACTTTTTTCTTTGATACCATTGACCAACCCCGTCGCTACAAAGAAATGCCGATAAATTTAGCCTAATACAAAGGTAGGACGAAGTTACGGTTTGCTAACCAAAACCCTCAATCTTGCTTTACCCAAAAACTCTCTTCACTCTCCCTAAAAGAGTTTCCTCACTCTACAATGACTTGTATGATTTAAAAATCCCTTGAAAAAGGTTGTTTTGATGTTGAAAAAATATCTAATCAATCACCTCGACATTGAGATGCATAAATATGAAGACGAAAAAGATTTCCATCCTGCAACACATTAGATATTAGTGGGGATTAGTTTCAGTAGTCTAATCATCATTATTTGCTAAAATCTATAGGTGATACATTGTTATTTCGGTCATAACCAACATAAAAATCTATTTGGAAATCTCGCACTCATATTCGGGAAATATAACTTAAAAAGTTATCTATGAGAGGACACACAACAGTGACTTTAATAGGAATTGCTGATCCAAATCGGAAATCGGTCCCAATCGACCAGGTTACTTATTGGAACAGGGAATCTGTCTAACACGAATGGATTCATAGGACACCGCAAGAGTACCAGGCGAACCAAGTAGACTTGGCTCCCACAAATCAAATTTTTTTTTTTTTTTAATGGAGTAATTCTCACACCAGAGAATCAGCCCGATTTGCCGATCTGGATCCAAATTTCCAGTTCACCCGGCGAGTTGGGTTTGTGAAACACTCATACACGTCAACAGAGTAGGAAATATTGCCTCCATCAATCTTTAATAGGATCTACCTACCGTGACAAATAAGACATAGGGAATAAATGAACCATTCAATCACGCCGCCAATTACTCATCTCTTCCAATAATTGATGCTCCTAACCCAAAATAGGAACTAAGCTTGAGAATAAATACTCCTACCTCAAGAAAGAAACTAGGCAGCCAACCCTAGAAAGGAACCATAAAGGTCATCAATCACGCAAAGGGAACAAAGAGATAAGCGATTCCTTAGTCTACTCAACATTTTTTATACCTAAAAACATACTCTTTTTATTAGTTGGGGTAAGAATCAAACTTGAGTTGAGTTATATTAGGATACTCCATAATATATTTCCTTAGCCTAGTCAACATTTTTAATACTTTTTTGGTATTTCAAAAGTAAGAATGGCACTTGAGTCGTAGCGCTGCCAAAAGCAGGCTGCTACCCACTTAAGCCTAAGCTCAAGTCCTACATTTTTAAAATACTTGATAGCTTGTACCACAATGGACTAACCTCTTGCTTTGAGAGAGACAATGCAAATATAGCAACGGCTTAACAAAGTAACAATGTGTTAACAAAGTCTATGGAGGTTTAGAAATCAAATCATCAATTTTAAACCAGTAAGTAAAAAGTTTCAAATTCTCTAATTTCATTACTCATCAAAACATAGTGCCACTTACCTTCTAAATTCTGGAGTTTATCCTCTTAATCAGTTTCCTGTTAAGAAATACTTTTCGACCATAACCACCATGCATAATGCTGATACCTTTGCTTGTTAGAATCCTTCTCAAAGGCTCCATAGATGAGTTTCAACCACCATACATCACACACAACAAAACAAAGGCACCTTCCCCTGATACATATCTCACGCCGACAATCTATGGCAAATAGGTTACTTGAGGTATCCCCCACCTAACATTCAGAAACATACATAAATCCCAAAATTTAATGGCGATTATTTGCATAAGATGCCTCACTTTTCTCCCAACATTCCAATTATATATATAAATATTGATGTTCACCATGTTCCCAACAAGACCAACAGGGTTGGCAATGGACACAGACCCAACCTGGGACCCAATGTGTAGGCCCAACCTGGGTCCAGGTATGGGTCCAACAATTGGACCCAGCAAGTCGGATCAAGGTCCCATATATTTTCAGATCCAGGTCTGGGTCCAGCGATTTCGGGTATGTTCAGGTCCAAGCCCAAATCCGAGTCCAGGTCCACCACCCCTAGATACCAGGCCCCGCCCCTTTCTCCCCCTCTTGAAATCCATATTTTCAATGGACTGGAGACCTAGAAACCATTCTAAACTCCTGTGAATTCACTTCTGCTCAAGAAAAATGGATTGGAGCTCCCGATTTAAGGCACATTGCAATGAATGGTCCAGATCGCATTTTAAGATGGATTTCAAAATAGAGCACTTTTAAGCCCTATTACTTTGCCTTTCTCGAAATTCTACAATTTTATATGCAAGTTTTTAGATATAACAGTCGTAAAACATCACATCGCTCTAATATGCATAACTTCATTACAAAACGGATTCATGCATGCTCCATGCTTCACTAATCGTAGCCGAAGAAATCAATGCCAGATAAATGGAACTTCAGTAAGACTTAACTATCCACTCATTAACTCAAACCTAATGCATAATATAACTCAGTTAAAAGTCAATGAGCAGGAGAAACCACTCAATCACAGAGCAGCGACTTGAATTTGACCACAATTTCAAAACCAAAATTCATGCCCAATAATCAGTAGTCGGCAGGGGAGATGACATCATCAATTTTGAGTATCATTTTCACAACCTGTGTAGCAAGCAATATTTGCTGCTGCTTTCCAATCAGAGTCTCAAACACATCTTGCTGAAGCATGTCGTTTGTTCCAATATCATTGCAATCTATCCCATAATGTGGGTTACCCTCCTGCACAATATTTTATCAATTTCTTCAGTCATGACCAATCTAACATTCGTAAGCTCTTACAGCAGTCTTTTTTTTATTTTTTGTCAAGTGTTCTAAAATAACAATATAATTTCCTAGGAGAAAATTTTAACCAAATTAGGATTACACCCAAAATTAGAGAATCATCCTCTTAAAAGTTTAAATTCGTTTAAACAAATGTCAAGAAAAATGTAAGAAAATAAGAAAGGCCAAGGCTGACTATTCTAACAAAGGGAAATTTATCAAGACACACCTATCTAAGAAAGGAACTAGGGAAACATACCAAAAATCCCATTGTGTTATCAAATTTTAAACATAGCCCTATAAATTTTGATTTTTTTTATCAAGCCTTGCTTTTTTAAAGTGACTATTGTATTGAGCTTAAATTTGGGGAGTTGAAACATATCACCATCTCATGTTTGTAAAATTACCAATAAATATTTTAACATATATAAAATAACCAAAATACCACTAAAGTTTTGAAATTTACAGGGGAATTTGGGTTACTTAATTATATTTTTTTATATGTTTAACAAGTGCCCAGGGCAATAAATGTGGATGCCCAAAAATTTGAGCTTAATCAGATCTATAAAAAACAAAAGAATTAAAATAGAATATTCACCATGACTTAAGTATAAAATAAAAAGTTGGGATAAAGATCAAACGCCCCTATGGCTAACTGTAGTCCCAGATAAAACCCCCACTACCACATGAAAAGCCCAACGATAAACTCAAATCATGAATACAGGGATGTTTGACCCCTTCTTACTTCTCTTCCCCATTGAAATCAAGGAATTTAGCCTTTCTTCTTCCTCTTTCTTCTTTACCATTGCCCCAATCATCCCAACCCTGAAAAAACTCTTTTACTCACCCAACAAACACAAAACAAAGGAGAGTTTTTTGATGAAAACCAAAGGTTTCTGGTGATTATTTTACGGTTCGAGACATTCCTAATCATCCACTAATGCACTAGATAAATGCTTTTCTTCCCTCTATGGCTATGGGTTACTTGTGTACCTTTGACAACAAGAAATAAGGCAGTGAAAGTTACAACCTCTTTGGGATAAACTACATCCTCTCAGTCTCTCTTTCTGGGTTTGAAACCCCTAGTCTCCAATCGAGAACAACCTCCAACTTCATCATCATCATCATCATCTAAGCAAATATCCCAATGATTTGGGGTCGGCTACATGAATCAGGTCCCCCCATTCTTCTCTAGCAAAGGTCATACCCTCAGTAAGATTGAAAGTCACCATATCTTTTCTTAATACATCTATCCATGCCCTTTTAGTCATTTTCTTTGCCCTTTTAGAGTCTTCCACTTAAACCAAATCTAGAACAACCTCCAACTTCTCGTCTAAATTTCAACGTCTTTGTTCCTTCAATGGCAGAAATTTTGATAAAGTAGCTGTGGAGACTAAGGCCAATAATTCAAGGCCACCCCCAGCCCATGGAAGCTCTGCACTGTAACTCAAGTTGAGAAATACAAATCCACAGTCCAAATTCACCACATTTGAGCAAGTGGCATCGTCTTCGCAAAGATTTACAGTCAAATGCCCAGAATGTTTGTCCTTCAAAGTGACAAAATGACATTGATATGGAATCATTCAAGGTCCCAGTTGCCTCTCTCTTATTGTCGACACAAAAACCAGTGAACATAATACCACATTAGAAACTCCAAAAATTTTGCCCAAACAAGTCAATTCCCCTGAATTTGTTGATAACTCCCAAAGTCATTAAGCAAAGACCTAAAAACATAAGGTCGCTGACTCTAGAGGCAGCTTTGACCAAATGGGGGAAGCAGAGAGAGTTTTCTGGTGAAAACCAAAGATTTCTGGCCACTCAGACACCAATCCGTTAGTTATCTTGGCTAGAAATCCATGTTCAGTGGGGGGCAAGATAGGGGGGTTTTTCAGAAGAAAAGAGAAAGAGGCAGGGGGGAGAAGAGATTCCACCTCACAGAGCAAAGGAGGAGAGTGAGAACAAGTTGAGCAGGACAGAAGGGTTCATGGGGCAAGAGAGAGAGCTTTCTTAGGGTTGGGACGATGGGATGGGGGCCAGAGAGAGAGCTTTCTTAGAGTTGGGACGATGGGATGGTTAATAAAAAGAAAAGAGCAAATTTTGCAATTTGGCCAAGAGGAAAAAGTAGAGCGGGGGTTAAACGTCCTATGTGACTTGGACCATTAGGCCTTTCAAGGACCCAAAGATTTATTTGGGACGAGAGTTTCGCAAGGGAGTCTAGGTCATTTTCCTTATAAAATATATGGGACTATTTTAAAATTTCAAAAATAAAAAGGGATTTTTCTATTAATTTCCCAAGGAAGTATTTAACATTCCACCTACTTCTTCTAATTTAATTTCAAAAATCCCCACCAAAATGCATTTGATCATGAGCTGGAATACTGAAAATGGGCTCAAGATTCATGAAAAGATGTGGCGAAGTTTTACATTGGCTGACCACCTAACCCAACCTTCCTCCTTTCTACAGGATTGGTACCACTAGCATGACCGTCTAGGGACCGGCCGTGGTAGAGTTTGAATAGTTGGAAATGGTTAAAATCTTAAATACTTGATAGGTGTATTCTGATCAACTTTCCTAAAAAAGGAATTTCCATTGAACTTCACAATATTTTTGTGAAATTTCAAAAGAGATGGGAGAATTAATTACCGTTTTCAACCAAAACCAATCAAACAGGTAAGGCACCTACAAATAAAACAGCACCCATGAACCATGTGTGCACGAGCACCCAAACATAAGGCTCACATAGAGGAAACACTTTGTCAATAGGGTCATACCTTGACTTGTTGAGACTTCACAGCAGTTAGAGTTTCAATGGGTTGGAGGCCACTGTTCTCTGCCAAAGCCATTGGGATTGAGTCCAAAGCATCCGCGAAAGCCCTAATCGCATACTGGGAGCACAAGGTAAGAAAAAAGAGATTCAGCTCAGGCGTATTTCTACTGTAGTTTTCGCATCGCCTTATTCTTTTCCTTTAGGTGGAAAATTTTGGTAGTGGTTAACGGGGATGGAGAAAACCAACAAGTATTGGTTCAACTAGATGTGCCGCCTTATCCATTTATATTTTTTGTTTTACTATTCACAGAAAACAAACATCAACAAGTCTTTTCACATACCTGCTCTACTCCAGGAATTCTATCAGCAGCTGCTTCCACAGCAATGGAGCAAGAGATTTCCGCTGATCCACCACCATAGACAATTGAATTATTGCGGATCAAATTCCTTGCAACACAAAGGGCATCATGGAGACTACGTTTTGTCTCCTCGATCATCATTTTATTGCCTGAACCATCAAAAAACATCAAATCAGAGACCAGACATAGTTGATATTTGGATATTTGGATATACACCTGGAGAAACAATGAAATATACTTGCATATCAACTAGGAAAAAGAGGCACATCACCCACCCATCCCCTCCACCCCATGAAAAACCAGTACCTAGTTGAAAATGTGAGATCAATATTTTTTCATGATAGTATTTAATGTCATAATCTTTCCCGTTCCTTCTCCCTCACCAATGAACAACCAGTCAAAAAGGAAGGAATAAATTTCTCAAAATCACTCATACAACTTACAAATGGCTTGTTAGACATAATGGAAAATATCACCAACCATATTGGCACGCATAAAATGTCTGAAACAGGCAACCAGAAGGTTTGAAGTCCCAGCTGGTCATGAATATACTCTAAATGCAATTTTCATTCTACGTTAAAAAGGCTTTATAATCAAGTAGAATTGGACATTGGAAAAGGTGGCAAGCAGGATAGCGGTGCCGTCATGCTTAAGATCAATTTATTTAGAGCTCCTGCATATTGGCACTCCTGGGAAGCATCTATCAGAATGAATTATTGTACGAGCAGAGAAATTAAAATGGGAAGCTCCTCCCTTTGCCAGTAAAATGACTTTGACAAAGCTATGCATGATGAATCAACCTTAACACCATCCTTACCGACTAACAGGATGCTACAGAAGCTCCAAAGAGATCTTTTATGACACTTAGGACAAACACCAAGCTGGTTGAATTTTTAGGAGCTTAGATTTTTCAAAAAAAAAAATTGACTCATCCTGCAATCAATTTAAAAAAAAAAATCTCAACTGACAAATGAATGACCCAGAGATGTTAAAGCAAAGCTCCACATCATATTTTGGGAAAGAAATTTTGAAACCATCAATATGTACAATATTGGCTCATGATCCTATGGAACACGATTCTTTATCTCAATACTTTTCCTTACCTCAGTCAAAGGCCAAATTAATATGGTGGTTTAAGGCACACCGTCAAGAAAACAATGGGGCTTCATGTCCCAAATAGCAGTTGTAGATGAATGATGATGAGAGATTGGAGAAGGCAATATTTTGTAGATATGTACAAGCAATGAGGTATGTGACGGTAGCTATTGCAAGATGGTGGCTAACAGAGATCATGATGACATCTTCCAAAAAGTAAGTACCAACATATTATCAGGGACGGTAGTAGCTCTGAGAGAATGGGTTTTCTGTATTCAAGGATGGCACAAGAATGAACATCAGGAGGTCTACTTCCCTGCGTTGGTAAAGAATCTCAAAGTACAAGTATGTGTCTCATGTGTCTCATATAATGATTAGTGGGAATCCAATGGAAGAATTAATAGAAAAGGCCATCAGGCGGTCCATTGGAGGAAGAGAAATAATTAGGTTATTCAGGACAAGGAATCCTCTTGGAAGTTTTTCATGAGAACCATGAAGAGAAGTGCTCCAGACAAGTTTAGAGAAAGGCCCCTTATGGTGTTCAGAATCTACTTTCCAGCCTACAAGAATAAGATACTGCTCTTAAAGTCATGGATCTCATCATCATCATCATCAGAGCCTTAAAATCATGGATCTAATATAGCTAAATTGTGCCCTCCGAGGTGGAAAAGAGGAATATGAACCATTTTTTCCAGTAAGAAAGGTGACAGGAATGCAAACCAGATTACACATTGGAAGCGGCAGATAGATAGGGTAAAACAGATGTAACTAAAACAGGTTGGGTTTACAGGATTTTATACCACATTAGCTTTATTCGACTTCCATGTAATTGATATTCTCGCTTAGTTAATTCGTATTAAGAAATCAAAATAAACAAATAAACATTTTAAACGCCTGAAATGAAATGAGACAAGTACAACATAACCAGTTAAGTTCCACATTCCTTGGATCAAGATAAAGCGTGATTATAAACTAGACGATTCCAACACAAATCATTCCACTTGGTCTCTAAAAGAGTAGAATTTGGACACCAAAAACCTTAAAAGCAACACAACATGGTCAAGATTGTCTATACAGCCGACAACAAGTGATAACTTTTCATTGTTTATTTTGTATAGGTATCTTTCCCTTTCACTGACAAACAAAGAACAATCTTTCTGACTACTTTTTTTTAAGGAAATGTTTCACTGTTTTCTGGCATACAAATTAAAATTACAGCTGCAGATTTAAAGAAGAAAACCCACGTTCAGGGATCCATCACTGCTAAAAATCTTGGCATGTTCCACACATCACAGAAACAGCAGTAGTAGCATTAAAATGTAAAGATAGCATCAGCAACATCTAAAAGCAACAACTATCCCTCCAGCAACATCTAGAAGCAACAATTATCCCTCCCAAGAAAAAGTTCATGACTTAAATGCAACTCACCGCCACGAATGAATATAGTTACTGCCCTTGAATTTGCACATTGCTCTATATACAGCATGCGGTCTTTGGTTGTTCCAAATGATTTTTCTCTAACTATACCCGCCTGAAAACATTCAGACATACTTAGCATAGTATTAATATTCAGTAAATAACAGCATGATACCATTAGTCTTGAACAATGTTTAGAAACTTGCCTCGGGCCTGCTGCTTGGCCCTGGCCCAAAGCGAGTTACTCGGACTAGCCCAAGTACAGGAATAGGGCCAAATGCCCTTAAAAATTTTAAAAATAGAGAAGAACAAAATAAAGGTAGTAAAAGTTGCATAAAACCAAAAGAAACCTTAAAAGGTCCAAATAAGCTTAAAAGTGCATAAAAAAATGGATTTACAAAGAATTGATGTATAGTTGGGCACATTCAACATAAAAAAAAAAAAGAGAATAAAAAAAAGGGAAATACAAAAGTAGGGATTATGGCAAAAAAATAACAACAGAAACATCCAAATTATACATAAAATTTACACAACAATTCCTTTTTTTTTACTATTTTTGGATTTTAAAAAAAAAATGTAATCCAAGTTTTACATAGGCCACTTGGCTGAGTTCTGTAACAATGGTCTTGAAAAAGTAAACTGCCATAAAATCTGACCCTCATGTCTTATTCTCTACACTCCAATACACCAGCAATCGCTGAATTTTTACAAGAAAGAAATGCTACTACTAGATTTTTGGAGTCATTGGGGGCTATTGCATTCTAAACAAGATAATGATTTCATAAAAAGGTAAACCTTATAAATTATTTTAAAATAAAATAAAATAATTTCCATTATAAAGTGTCACATTTTAATAATCTCAAACATGGAAAACCTGTTGGCATCAATTTACCTTCCCTAGCTTTTCAGGAGTCAACTCTTGAAATCTTGGCACAATCCTTCCCCCTAGTAGATGGCCAAACCACAATAAATGGATCATGTTTGTGATGCTGATAACTTTATAATGCATGTATCTATAGGAAATGGTCTAGGTTTGATGCATACCTGTAGCAATTGCAATCAACTCTAACTCCACACCTCCAACCCATCGAACTGCAGGCAATCCCCGATTCATTAACAGATGGTTAGCTTCATCATCAAAACCCCATTGACAAATAACCAAGGTCGCACCTACATCCTGTACAATATTGAAACATAAGATATAAGAACATACCATTCCTCCATTTCAACAATAAACAACAATGCACTAACCATAATACAACAAAATTCCATGACCAAGACGCATTAGGGCATGTTTGGATTTACCAAACAGGTGCATTAGGACTAGCAGTAAGAGTGACTGAAAGCAAAACAAGCTTTTTTTGTTGTGAGGTTAAACAGATTAGAAGGCTTATTTGCAGTTCTTTTTTCCAACGAGCAGTGTTGGAAATGGACGTAAACAAATGCAGTGCACAAAAATTCCCACTAGTGTTAAAAAACTAGAATTAAATGCTTTTAGTGATGGAACCAAACAGGACCTTATTCTAAGAAGATAAAACTCTTCATGTTGACAGTATATATTGTTAAAATTACCAACAATTAATTTCTTAAAATTTTAACAGTATTTCACTGATTCAAAAAGGTGTGTACATGCATATTTCTAATGTACAGAAACAAGTTTATACAATAAAAGACTCAGCTAGTATATAAAAACTCTACACATGTCTAAGAAGTTAGGCCACAAAAGTTGTTATCATTAGGGTTTAGGAGTTCCCTCCCTGTGGAAGGGAGTTTCAAACTCATTTGGACTCCCTCCAAATACAGCTAAACACAGTCCATCTCATGTCACTAAGAAGATCAAAAATTGCATCAAACAAATTTTGGAGCTAACAAAGGCAAGGTTCTCTACCACTTGCCCAGGTTATTATTGTGGTAAAGTCCCCTTCAATAATTAATGCTCTTCCAGCGAGAATCAAGGTTTTCTGGGGCTGAATAGCCACGCTCAGGCCTCAACATCAAAGAGATACACTCCCGCCGTCAATTCAGGAAAATTGTTCGCATTGGATTCATCAAATGAAGGGTCCGCATCCTTACTGTCCCTTTTGTCCTTCGAAATCTCCACTGTTACTTTGGGTCAACATGCACTCCTGCAATTTGTCCCAATCCCTCGCTCGCCATACACCATTCCATGTGTTGGTGGATCAGCATTGACAAGGGACCTCCACCTTATGGACCCGACAGCTACCAAGCTGACTGTGTGTCTTGCTCATGTAAACAATTGGAATTTGAAATCAAGATTAAATTTCCATTGGAGGACAAGTTTGAATTTGAGTTTGATGCAGCCTGCAGACTTGAAAGATTATTACAAAATTTGCCTTTTCTTTCAGAGGTATTTCCCCGCTGACCTGGTGCCCTCTTACCCCCCACAATCTGTTAGAACAGCACATCAGTCTTCTCTTCTCCGTGGCAGCCACATCATCTCGCCTTCTTCCTTCGCAGTTTGGAACACGTCACCAGGTCTGATATGGTACTAGTCTCTCCGCCAGATTCTTCATTTGTTTTTTTGGTAAGCAGCGAAATGCATCCTCCATTCTCTGCTAGAGTTTCTTCCCTTCATGGGGCGATTTCTTCCTCCTCTTTGGTGCAGGACATAGTAGTTTTTTCTTTTGTTCCACTATGACCTTCTGCCATTACAGAAAGGCTCGACTGAGACATCCATGGAAGCAAAGCCAGTATCCCTCCTTATCTCCAATGGCAGGATGCGAGTACTCACTTAGCTTCCATTTCTGAACTGAAGATAAACAGATAACCCTCCGTAATTTTTTGTACATTACTAGGTCCTTGTTTTCCATACTCTTGTGACCAATTCCTCCAGCCCATGGAGTTTTGCGGTGCCTGGACAAAATCTTACCAGGAGAATGAAACCTCTTTCCCTTACCACTTGGACCCCAACTTTGCTATCAAAATTGCATTCATCTTCCACCTTGGAGAAGAACTCAGCAGAGCTCCAGAGTAGACACCGTCAAGCTCGTTCTCTCCGGCAGTGTTTCAAAAGCGGACTGCCTAGTGCCAGGGCGGGCCTCCTAGGCGCCAGAAAAAGGCAGAAATCCCTGGGCGCCCGCCTAGGCACCCAAGAAACCGCCTAGGCGGCCGCCCACCGCCCAGACTTGAGAGGCCGCCCAGGGACTGCGCCTCTCTCAGAGGCTGAAAACACTTTCGGTAGGGGCATTTTTTGTTTTTTTTTATACCAAGAGGCCAAATTGTTGTTTTTAGGTTTATTTGTAACCTAAAACATATTAGAGATCATTTTTTAGAGAGAAAAACCCCAAGAAACTGATTTTTGGTGATTTCTTTAGAATCGAGGGGTTTCTCAAAGTTATGAGAAATTGATCAAACATCACCATTGATATTACTTTTGATGTTTTATAAATCTATTGGAGAGTTTTTTAGAAGATTTTGAGTCCTTAGGAGCATCTTTGAGGTGGAAGTTTGGAGAGCGAGCTATCAAAATAAGTGATTTTTTTTATTGCTTGTATAAGTTGTATTATTTTAAGATGTCTCCTTCAATATCTATCTAATAGAGTGGTGATCCCGGTTGGACATATGGCTACAACCCATATCCTAATGATAAAAATTGCATAAGACGCAAGTTTTGTGAAAAAGATTCAAGAGGGGGTATAAACCGATTCAAGAAACATATTGTCGGTATCAGGGAACCCCATGTAAAAAGACTTCTGATGCTCTTAAAGAGGAATAACCAATTTTTTGAATAAGGTAAAAATGAAGAAAGATGAAAATTTTGCCTCCATAGCAGATATTAGGTATGGGGTTCGAGTCAGTTATGATGATGATGCTAGTGATGAGGATAGGGAGGGATGTCGAGATGTAGAATAATCCATTATTAGGGGGAAGGGAAAGGAAGTTGTAATGGCTTCTTGTTCTAAGAGTAAGAAGCCTCGAGTTAGAGGCCCTATGGATAGTTTTTTGCCCCGGTCTGACTCTGAGGTTGCAGTAGAGAAACAAAGAAGTAAGCCACCATTGAAAATAGAATGAAGAAGGAAGAGAGAGATAGAGTGTTGCTTTTAATATTGCTATATAATTTTATGAGGTGAGCATGCCTTTCAATACCGCTCGTCTAAGCAGCTTTTATGCCTTAGAAGAGGTAATTGCCAATTCAGGCCTGGGATGAAACCCCCAACCCCATATGAGCTTTCAACGCCTCTTTTGAAAAAAACGGTGAATGCTACGAAGGATGTTGTAGAAGTTAAGAAGGATGCATGGGCTCAGTATGGAGTTTATATTATGACTGATGCTTGGACTGATACGCAAAGAAGAACTCCGATGAATTTGCTTGTGAATTGTCCTTTAAAGGCTGTTTTTTTTTTCTATTGATGCATCTGATTATATCCATGATGCCCATTACATAAGGGAATCAAGGAGGTTGGGGAGCATCTTGTTTTACAGGTTGTCACAAACAATGCTGCTCCTAATGTTGTTGCTGCTAATTTGATGTGCATAGCTTATCCTAGAATCTTTTGGACACCATGTGCAGCACATTGTATAGACCTCATGCTTGAGGCTCTTGACGGTCCGAGATATCAGGTGAAGTGAAGGTAAAGTAGTTACGAATTTTATTTATAGCCATAATCTCACCCTCAGCATGATGCGTAGATTTACAACGAAGAAAGAGATAATGAGGCATGGGGTTACGAGATTTGCGACCTAGTACTTATGCCTAGATAACATACATTCAAGGAGAGTGCAATTGAGCCAGATCCGCAAATGTTTACCTCGGATGATTGGAAAGCATACAAGTGGTACAAGGATTAGGTTGGGAAGAAGGTGAGAGATATTATCCTTTCTAAAGCTTTTTGGCGAGGAGTGAAGGGTGCTTTTATGGTATTTTTTCCTCTTGTCAAAGTCCGCATAGTTGATAGTGACAAAGCTTATATGGGCTACATATATTTGAGGCTATGGACAAATGCAAGAGAGAGATAGCCCAAAATTTAGATGATGATGAGAACTGCTATAAGTCTGTTTAGGAGATTATTGATGAGAAGTGCGATAGGTAGTTACATCGGCTATTGCATGTAGCTGATTATTATTTGAACCCAGCTTTTTTTATGTTGATAAGGATATACACACAAATGGCACAATTATGACTAGATTTAATGAGTGTGTAGATGTACTAGTCCTTGATCCAGATATTTAGGATATTATGTGTTGATGAGTTGATAAATTACAAGTGCTCATTAAAATCTTTTGAGAGTCCAATGGCAATGAGGCAAAGGACCAAAATTGATCCATGTAATAATATTCTTGAGTTCCTCAAGTTCAAGTAATCAAGTTTCATTTCTATAATTCTATTATATATTTATGATTTTATTTTATATCTTTGCAGCCAATTGGTGGAGCCAACATGGGTGTAGTTCTCCAAATTTACAAAAGTTGACCATTCGGATCTTAAACCTTACAACTTCCTCGTCCGGTTGTGAGCGCAATAGGAGTACATTTGAAGGACTAAGGGTAATTTGTATAATTGTATTAATAATTTAGTAGTTATTAGTTTTGATTCATTGATTGTTTTGTAGTATTATTATTATGTATTTAATAATGTTAATTATTTAATATTTATATTAATTAGATTCATTTGATTTTGTTAGATTCATACAAAGAAAATGAACAAGTTTGAATCAAAAAGGCTCAATGACCTAGTCTATGTCAAGTATAATTGATTCTTGAAGGACAGGTTCACTAACAGAAATAAGAGAGACCCCTAAGATCAAAAAATATGGACAATGCCATGGAGTGGTTGGTTGATGATGATGAGCTCGAGGGGCATGAAGGATTGACATGGGACAAGATCATGGATGCTTTAGGGACATCAGCCGACCCTCCTAGGGCCACTAGATCTTCTGCACAGAGGATGAAGGTGGAGGAAGAGGAGGAAAAACAGGCAGATTCAGAAGAGACGGAGGAGGACGACCAATATGTCGAGGAGGGTGACGACTCCCATGCATATGATACAAATGCAGCTGACATTACTTTTTCTGATGATGAATGATGATTAAACTTTGAACAATGATTGGAGATTTATTTTGACTCTTCAAGTATTATTTTCATTTTTGCTTTCTTCATCTTGGTTGTGTATTGTGGATAGTGGATTTGTAGTTCCACTGGTTTGGTATTTGCCTATTTGGTAACTTTGGTTTGGTAATTTGGTTGGTAAATTTGAAGTTTTAATTGGATATGGACCAACTCATGATTATGCTTATGCTTATGGAGTGTGTGCTAATGTGTACTATACTTTTGAATTTTGATGTGCCCTAAATAACTAATTCTTATATTTTATACAATATACAATTATATTTATACTGTTAGAGACTATAGAGTCCTTTTTTGTTTCAACTAGGCCGCCCAAGTTTTGGGCACCCGCCTGGGTGCCCACCTAGGACCTGCCTAGAGCTTTCTAATACACTGCGCTCCAGTGATTAGGGACTCATCATTTTTGTTTACTAGTTCACCGATGCCAATGTTGTTTCATCTTGGCTTGTGTATTAGTGGTGGTCTTCGAGGATATGAAAACACTAAACTTGCTCTCTTGTGTGGCGGTCGTCTGTCTTACAGTCAACTCTTCTCTCCTCTTCCTCAAGCCATTCTTCCTATTGGTTCCTATCTTGTTAAGGTGAATTAGAACAACCACAAATTCCCCATACTACTCTAAATTTCATATTAAAACCTTTGGACCATTTCTTTCCCACAAGGATTTTGCCTCAATTAGCTGACAAGAAAGGTACGAAGAAGATAACACGCAGCATTAGCAGTCAAACACATCCGGTTCAACTGAAGATGCTAAAGAGGCTGGCGGAACGACCCAAAATGTTTTGGGCGCTTTCCTCTTCGAGCCATATTGCAACCAAATGTTGTCAACCTACCAATTATTTAACAGGATTGTCTACAAAGGGACCATTTATCTTTTGTACATGGAGGTCACAATCATTCCCACTCATTAGATGTCATTAGATGGCTTGGGTGAGTCACGAAGTCCAAGAATTTTTTCTTTTGGAACTTTGTGTGACACTCTTACAACCACCCATTTTGAAATTTAAGGGACAAGAATGATTGTGACCCCCCATGCATAAAAGATAAATGGTCTCTTTGTAGACAATCCCTTATTTAATTTAAGGACTTAACTTTTTTGGATTCAAACATTTTTTATATAAGTGAGTATATATTATAAAAACTAACACAATATTTTGATTAGGACCATATGGATTCGGAAGTTCATGACCAAAGCTAGAGAAACTAACACCTCAAGTGAGGAGCAGTAACATGATTTATGGGATAACTTCCAACTGAAATTCAACAAATACGAGCGACATCACTTTGATAAAATCAAAGAAAATTTATTAGAATACAGTGCAAATATGCTTAAAACATTTCAAGAAGGGCTCCCGCCCCTAGATGTTGTCAGTAAAGATAAAAAGTCAACTTCAAAATAACCAAGAAAGGAAAATATATAGCAACAGAAAGTAGCTCTCTCATGGATCTAGTAAGAGCAACTTACTTTGCATCTTTGAACCATGTCATCAAAATACTGTTGTTCTTGTTTGCGTAGTGTCTGGAATTTTTCAACTGTGTCAATGTCCACCTTATGCTTTGTCTTGGGCTTTGGGGGTTCAAACGGGCAAGTCAAAATGGCAATTTTAGCATTTTCAATACGCTTAGGCATCTGTGGATGGCTCATGTCCTTGTCGACAGTGATACCATAAACTAGCTCAGTGTCCTCTAACTTTCCGCCCACTTTTCCCTCAACTTTAATTAAATCCAAATTGACATCCTTTCTATCCAAATCTGCTACAGCAAGCACTGCTTTAACAGCAATCTCAGCTAAACTCCGCTTGCATCGATTAACACTGCAACCACAGCCCAAATTTCATAATTCAGAATGACCTAGATTTTTAAGTACAATGAGAGTAGAAACTGAACCATAAATTCACCCAAAAAAAAAAGATTCAGAATTCCAAAACAAGAAGCACAAAAATTTAAAGCATGATGATAAACAACATGCACAAAAACTGAAGCTTAAACTTATCAACTAGTTGAGATTGATAGCATGATAATAAACCAAAAAAAAATATCCAAAGAAGGCATTAGAAGTTTATCACATTGCTCAACATATTAATATAACCATATTTAGATATGGGTGCAGTTTGTATAGAACCTAGAATCTAAACAATCAAATTAGAGCCTACCTCCAAATAGCGTCAAGAAATGTGGTTTCAATATTGGAAATCTTTGTGATAGCATTGAAATATATTTTCATATCTATTTATGAAGTTCAAAGCTTCAAAAATAGTGTAGATCGACATATCTATGATATCTTGAAAATTGACAGTCCAAAAATGCGTTACAAAATACACTATTTTCAAAACTCACTTTTTTCTCATGTCCATGCATCTTGAAGTCGAGATGATCAATTTGAAGATATTTGGGCATCGAAACAACATCTTCTAATGAAATTTTTGAGGTAGGCTCAAATTTGATTGTTTAGAGCCTCGGCTCTATATAAACTTTTCCCTTTAGATATTGCCACTACTGGCAATGAAGTATAACTTAGCAACATAACCAAATGTTCAAAGCATACATTTTCTCTGCTACCTGAACTAATAGAAACAACCAAGTATCAATTTCTCCCACATGTCGAATATTAGCAGTCTTCAAACCCTCAGACTCACCACAGACACACCGCCAGTGTCCCACCATACATTTTTATTTATAGTCATGCCCCACCGTCAGTCCTTGAAAGATCTAAATGTTGGGCAATCCAACTACCACTATTTAAAGCACACTTTGCAGTGTGACATGAAAAACAACAAAATGAATGAAGAAAATGAAACTCAGAAAATTTGAGGCTTAAAAAGGGATAAGGTAGACATCCATCAACAATGCTCTACAGTCATTATCACGAATATTCATAGCTTGCTCTATTCATAGCTTGCTCTTTTGCTTGCTTATGTTCAAGTCAACCCCCAGTCAATGTGATACGAAGTTAACCTGGCTACTACATGAATCTTTATCAGCTGAAGTATATCCCATCTAGGATGTCAATGTTTAGATCCTCGTAACAATTATATCTTACCTCATGGCATGTTACACTTGCCGAAAAAAGCAGATGCTTGATGTAACATCACCAGTACCATCCAGCTTGATAATTAATGGGCGATCCAGATCAGCAGGTATGTGTTTACTTTACAGTGTCACTTACCCTCACTTTATTGAGAAACTTATCGGGGATAGGGTCTAGTAAATTGTCTGGGCTATAACCAAAACAACCCTTAAGTCAATGATGAGATCAAGAATGACACAAGACGATTGGGAAGATGACCAAAAGTCATGTCTCTATTGAAATTACAATACAGTAACTGCCTAGGACTTCCGACAACTACATTCTAGTTGGTATGAAACATATAATAGGGAGAAAACCACAGGAAGATTGGATTTAAGATTAATAGCCAAGCAACATAAAATGATATAGCTTTGACTTATAGGAGGCTTCCATCCATGAGGTAAAAACTTAAAATTGCCACATTTCTATCCATTCTTTCTTTTTCTTGAATGAAGTATTATTCGCTCACAAAAATCAGGACAGGAATATGTGTGGGAAGAGAACTACCAGTAGATTTCCAAACATATTGAGACACAAGGGAAACAAGCAAAGATTGTTTGGTTTCTTATTAAGCTCTGCTCCTTTCCTCCAAAAGTGCTTGTATTAGCTGTTCTTCTTTCAGAGAAGTCCAAATTACTATATAAGGATCCGTGACAAACCAACAGTGGAGCAAGTCTCTAGATAAACGACTTAGAAAACAATAAGGTTAACATGTGGTTGATTGGAAGTAGATGTATATCTTGAAGTTCAGGTCAAGGCTCTAGATAAAAGACTTAGAGAACAATAATAAGTTAACATGCGGTTGGTTGCAAGTAGATGTATATTTTAAAGTTCAGGCCAGACCCGATACTTCAATTAAGAAATATGAAGGTATTATCAGAAACAGGAAACTGACAATGGCGTCGAGTGATCCAGATATGCAGTTTTTAACCCACTGGTTGCACAATCTTTACTGCTTACTCAGATATACCATGGGGATCATTCAGATACCTTTGCTCCAACACAAAAAAAACAAAGAAACAACAAAGGGAGAGGAAATCCATTAGGTCTCACTATCAAGATTTGGCCATCATACAAACTGGATGTTAAAAAGGCAATTCATGCCCAATGGCTTACATCCATACAAAAGGAGGCCTATATTTACTACAACTAGGTTTCCAAGAAAATTGAGGAAGAAAAAAAGAAGGAAATCAATAATCTATGGAATAAAGCAGTCAAGGGAGAGAGAAAGAAATAGAAAGAGAGAGAGAGGTTCTAATAATAGTTTGGGCATTGTTCTTTAGCAGAATAATGATAAAGTTTTTGGAAGAGCACATGATTGCACTGTTTGAGGACCCAAAACCGAAGCTGAACTCGGTTCATCATCGGTTGACCTAGGATTGGCAGGTTGAACCGGCCCTTCCAGTAAACAATGATTTTGAAATGAGAAAATCATCAACGATCAAAATTGGGGAACACAGTTAATAGCGGATGGTGACTCTCTAAACACTATCTCATAGGCATCTGCATCCTCCCCCAACCCGTGGACTCTTGACGCCATTTTTGCTAAGATTGTCCATCTTTGTAGCTCCCTCCAAATCTCTTGGAGACACACAGATGCAGATGCGTTAGCCAAGGAGGGTGCTAGCCTCAACCTCTCTTGATGACTAAGGAAATTCAGTTTCTCACCCCTTTTGGGGTCTTATTCGGGCCTTTTGGTGTTGTTTAGCTTTCCTGAACCCTTAGGGGTTCTGTTTTAGGCACCCTAGAAGGGGGAACGCCTGTTTTTGTATCTACCAATACTTTGTACTTCCTTAATTTATTAATACAATAGTCAATTTACTCAAAAAAAAGAAAATGAGAAAATCATCAATTAGAAGAAAGAGTTTGGAGTTGAAGTCACAATAACATATATCATACGTAAAAATATGAACATAATAAAATAAAAACAGCCAAAAGGAAAATGATCTTTTACATGAAAGATGAAACTAGAACACAAAGAAGATTGTCCTCTATTGGTAGAATCAAATAGCAAGCCTGCCTATATATGCACATGACATTACGAGTTCCTTCTCTTTGTAGTGTAGATTTTATCTTTCCTGTTTGTGGAGTGGCCAAACCAGCCTGCTAAAAAGTCCTCAAGCGTAGATTCCAATAAAAGAGCCATGTCGAACTTCGAACCGTCAATACCAATCAACAGAGTTTTTTAAATCACTGGTACGCATCAGAAATAGCCAATCCAGAAAGGGTATTGTTGGAGACTATACCGGTTCCTAGGTGGAATCAGTGATTTTATACTATGCATAATATAACATGTGCATTGTTATTCAAACTACTTGAATGGCCTTTTTGGCTAGCATTTACCGCTATTGGGCCATTTGAGCCCCTTCAAACGCACTCCATTGTATTTCATGTGTAGCCTTGTCTCTTTCCTAGGAGAATAACAGCCCTTTCTTTAAGGAGTTCAAAAAATGAATATATGCCCATCCGGTGGTTCCCTTTCTTTAAAGAGTTCAAAAAATGAAATATATGCCCATGCGGTGGTTCTTTAAGGAGTTAAAAAAATGAAATATATGCCCATGCAGTGGTTCGATCCACAGACCACGTGTACAGCGCCATACCATCTAACCAAGAATCCATGTGATGCTTGTTGTAAAAAATGCCTACTTTACATCCTATCTATTATAATATTTTTTTTAATTTGTTTAAAACTTTTGCCAGATCGCTGATCGAGCCGACTTGAACCGCAGTTGGTGGGTGGACAATCCACCCACTGAACCAGGTTTTTAAACACTGCCAACCAAAACAAAAAACAAACCTCCTACGGTACCATCAACATATCAAATATTTTATTTTTTTATTTCTTTTTGATGAATGACCTATTTAGGACAACAAAGAAAATATTATGGGGAATAAAAGCAGAAAAGTACAACATTCATTTAGAGAGAAATCACAAATTTGAGAGGAAGTACACTCACATCTTAGAAGACAAAGTGGTCATGCAAGTCTGAACCAGTGACTCAATGTTCGTCAAACTAAACTCAAACGTCTTCGAGATTTTCTCAAGATGGTCCACAGCCATTCTGGAAGCCATCTCATAGCCCTCTGCGATTCTAATGGGATGGATACCACATTCTAATAGTCTCTCTGCCTGCTCGAGAAGTGCACCAGCCATAACAACAACACCAGTGGTACCATCACCAATCTCATAATCCTGGCTTCGTGATAACTCTACCATCAGCTTTGCAATTTGATTGTCAACATCCATTTGCTCCAAGATAGTAGCCCCATCATTTGCTGCAACAATACAACACAGATGGTCAAGACATTGAAATTTCATCTGGCATGAAATTTAGCAATCACGGAAACCAAAATTGAACTAAATTTGGATCACACTGTAAAACAGTATAAAAGTTCAAGTTCTCAAGAAAATAGAGGTTTTAGGCTTAAAAGTTTCTCAAAACACTGCCAATGCAAAAACATCGACATCCTGCTTAAAATGCCAAACCAAAGCACCTGGTATCATACCATAATCTCAAAACAACTTTTATAAACCCACAAGTAAAATATGCAGACAAATCCAAATAGAAAACCTCTATGGCAAGCAAAATTCAATGAAACACGCACCATCATATGCATACAAAAACAGTAGGAGAAAACCCAGATCACATACAATGCAAGATTTATTAAGCACATGTAGAAAAGGAGCTCGGAACTCACTTAGCATTGATACAGGGGCAAACCGTGACAGAAATCACAACTCAGTGATCACAAAAGGGAAAATCCTAATCATACTAAAAAACATTTGGAAAGAAAATACTTTAAGAACGATCAGAAATCACTCGACATAACGCATAAATCTTAACTTTATATTATCAAATGCAAAATGCAAGAGATAACCTTCAAAAGTGATGATATCTAACTGATTATGACTAAGAAAAACATAAATACAAATCAAAAACATAGCAACTGAAGTGGAGAAGGAAACTGACGATGATTGACTGTGAAAATAAGCCACAAATCTAAGGAACGCAGAACATTTGATGATAAAAAAGAATGAAAAATCAATATTTGGGCTTACTGATGGTGACTTCGCCATCAGGGCTCTGGAGCATCTTGTCCATGCCCTTAGGCCCAAGAGAAGTCCTCAGAATCCGAGCAACTGCTTTTCCAGCCGAAATGTTGGCCTTTTGCGCATCGAGGCCCCTCAGCCTGTTCATCTGCTCCTGCTCCTTGAGGATGATGAAGGGCCTTCCATATTCATCGAAGGCAAGCGCCATGCTTACTGTCAAATCAATGAAAGAGAGACAACTTCATCAAATATTTCAGTATGAAAGTAAAGCGAAATGAAGTGACAGAGATAGAGATAGAGAGAGAGGATCTGATTTGCAGGGAAAGCCTGAAAGAATAATAATAAGAAGAAGAAGAACGAGAGAGGGAAATGAAACTTTTACATACGGAGCGAGAACGTGCTGAAAAATGGACTTTTTAGAGAGAGAGAGATTAAGACCGTGCCTGAAGAGTTAAAGAGTAGAGAGAAGAAGAAGAGCAAGACGAAGTTTTGAACATTTGAAGCCCTAGATTTGTGCTTTGCATTATAGGCAGAGCTCCCGCCTGCAAAAGCTTCCTTTTTGGAAATGACGAAATTGTCCCGAACAACTCTTCTCGAAAGGACTAGGAGGACACATCTCATCTTAGCAGCGAGCGCACCGGTTTGAAATTGCGGCCTCTTTAACGCTCTGTCCCGAGTATTTTTAAAGTATAATTAAATAAAGGAAAAGTTTATATATAGCAGAGGCTCTAACCAATCAAATAAGAGCTTACCTCAAAAATTTTATTAAAAAATGTTATTTTGATTTTCAAATATCCTCAAATTGATCATCTCAACATCAAAACGCATAGACATCAGGAAAAAATAGATTTCACGTTGTGGAAATAGATTATTTTGTAATGCATTTTTTGACCATCAATTTTCAAGATTTTCAAGTTCTCATAGATCTATCGATCTATACTATTTTTTAAGCTTTAAACTTTATAAGTAAAAATGAAATATATTTTAATACTATTACAAAGATTTTCAATATTGAAACCACATTTTTCGACATTTTTTTAATGTAGGCTCTAATTTGATTGTTTAGAGCCTAGGCTCTATACAAACCGTACCCTTAAATAAAATGAGATTAAAAAAAAATTAGTTGAGAAAATATATTTTGAAAAATTAATTTCTACCCAAGAGCCATCAGTATTTTAAAAACAATTGAAAAAAGATGAAAAAAATGTAAAAGAAAGTATTTATGGCCAAAATACTTTCCAATCTTTTTCAAATAATAAAAGCTTTTATGCTTCCCCTACATCATAAAACTTCGCCCCTATCCAACCATCCATTCTAAATGGACGGTTTAGATGGCCCCAATCACAATGCCACCCTCTATACTATTTCATTTTTAATTTTTTTATACGAAACATTTTGACACCAAATTTTGGACGTTCAATCCTCAATTGAACTAGCACCTATAAAAAATATTAAAAATTTATTCCCAATTAAATAAAATAACCAAAATTCTCAAGAAAAATTCAAAGGTATTTTGGTCTTTATATTTTATCAAAAATATTTTTTTAATATTTTATTTAGGTGTACCACATTGAGTTGATGGCACTCGTATCAAATTTCATATTCATATAGTTAGTAGAAAAAAATTAAAAATAAAATACTTTGAAGCATTGGATCTAGATTAAATGGTTAGTGCCAATGAAGTGTATATTTTTTATGTTGTAAGAGAAACATAAAAATATTTCTCAATAATATAAACATTAAAAACTTATTACAAACAAAATTTTTTATTTTTTGTTTTTTGTTTTTTGTTTTTTTTTAAGTTAGGGTGGTTAAGCCCATTAACCACCCTAATCAGCCATGGCACTATGGTATTTCTCTCTTGCTTTGAAGGCACTTCCATCTGCAATAGAAAACTTTGAAACGAGACTTTAAAAGCTCATTTTGTTTTGTAGAGAGAGAAGGATATCTTGCAAGGTAGAGTTTTGGGAGAGGTTAAGATTGGGGTTTCCGGCAAAACTCGAGTAAGTATTGTGTCCTAGTCTTGGGTAATTTCATGAGCATTTTCATTGTAGGCTGAGTTGTTTGATGGAGTGGACAGTGGAGTGTGATTGATTCTAATGTAACTCATTTATTTACCTAAATTTTCTTATTCTCCTATATTAATAAAATGGTGCCCTTGCTTGTTGCACATGGATGTAACCTAATTAAGGCGAATTACATATGTTTGTGTATTGGCTGGTGTTTGGATCATATTTTACAGTGTATTGTTGTTGTAGTTTGTTTTTCCGATTTTTTTATCTTGTTTCCTTTCATTTTTTCAAATTTATAGTATATATTGTTCTTGGGTATTTAGGTTTCTTGATAATGATTTGCCAACAGTAGGCCGGTTGCTTGGGGGTATTAGGTTTGTTGTAATGTGGCTTAATACAACTAGGGATTGTTGAGCGTGAAAAATCAAAATCCTAATGGATTGATTTTTGTACAAAATAAAGAGAGAGAAAAATAGGATCGTCAACAAGCAAATAACAAATAAGAAAGAAATGACACAAAATGAATGTCAAGATTTTATATAGCTCATTGAAGATGTTACTGAACCTACCAGTAAAAAATTAGACGATTCATGGTTTTTCACTAATCAATGCAATGAAAATTAACATGACTTTTACCCAAGAGACAAATGTATATCGTATAAGCACAAAGCATATTTGTGTTAAGTATCATTTTCTCTGTGAGATAATAGCTGGCGGGCGGTATTGTATTACCAAAGATAGGTATTAAAAATAAGGGTGTGGTTTCTACAAGGTTGTAACTCTAAACAATCCAATTAAGGCACACTTACAAATTTTATCATAACATGTAACTTTGATGTAATAATGTATAGGATTATCTCAAAATCTACTTTTATATCTAATTATAAAATTTCAAACTCCAAAAATGCTTAAAATCAAGTAAATCTATAAACATATGAAAATCTTGAAAATGGACGGTCTAGATAATGTGTTATAATCTTGAAAATCGATTAGAGGGTTTTTCAACATTAAAACTACTTTTTTCGATGGATTTTTTAGGTGCATCTGTAATTCTACATTTAAGGCTACAACCTTACGTGAACTTTTTCCTAAAAATAATGTTCTGGGTGTGCTGACAAAGTCGAGTCCACTTATAAGTTCAAGCGGTGGAGAATACGGCCGATGAAAATCTCTTTTAGAACTCAAACAAAAGTAAAGATTTGTTGTGTTGCCTTGAATCCCCAGTTATGAGATTCCTTTCCTTTGAGTTTGCCTATTAATTGTAAGGGTGTTTCCTATTAGTTGAGGGTTTTATTAATCAAATTAGTATTATCTCGGACTTTATTTTGGGAGAAGTCCTATTTTGAAAGATAATCACTTGAGTTCAAATGAGGTTATGAATCCTAAAAGCTAGGGGGTATGAGAGGCTATCACATAGGGTTTTTCTTTTCTCCATGTTATATTGTTTTGTAGACAGAGAAAATCGAAATAGAAAATAAAGGCTTAGATATAGAGAGAGAATTGTCAAGATAGAGAGGCTTTGTGAGATATTGGATTTGTCTGTGGCTCTTTAGGGACTTTCATGCACAACAAGGATAATCAAGCAAGTCTCATTACCCAACAACATCTAAAATTCATAAAACACATTGTTTAAAATAAAATTTTTATAATTATCTTCTATATAATATTATTTGTTGATTATTTTCTCTTAATTATCAATTTGTTAAATACATGAAAATTGTAAAATTAAGAAATCTTCATAACAAATGATGGGTTTTTCGACATGGTACTTGTGTGGTGATATTTTTTTGAACGTTTGAGTTAGTTTTTTTTTTTTTGAGTACTTACGTAGTGGCCTTTTTTTCTTTTCTTTTTTTTTTTTTGGAGTAAGTTAGTGGGGAGATGGCCCCCTGCCCGTTTTTTATTAAATGGTAATAGAAAAAGAGTACATGTCATAAACCAACATCCCTAAAATAGGGCATTTACACAACATCATGAAGTAAAGAGAGGGGAATACAATCAGGTGATCTAGTGCGCCAAATGGTAGCATCAAAAAAACCGTGGCCCTTTTTGCGATAGTGTCAGCCACCATATTGGCTTCATGGTCGATATGGGCGATGTGCTATACACGTCCCGTAAGTCTATGTCTGCAGTTGGTAGCAACAATGTGAATACACCATGGGGTTTTGCATTTATCTCGAATGGAATTGACAAGTAGAGATGAGATACTTTCAATTTGTAGAGGAAAGCAACCTAACTCGATGGCGAGATCCACTCCAGCTTGCAAAGCATGAAACTCGGCATAATTTTTGGATGCGAGCCTAAGGGGTTGTGCAAATGCAGCAATAAAGGATCCATCTTCTCCTCTGATGACCCTACCCCCTCCTGTGCGTCCTCGGTTTTGGAGAGAAGCTCCATCAACATTGAGTTTGAAATGACCTAGATGACGGAGGGACCATGCAATCGAAATAGAGGATTTTGTTTTTCTTGCCACCATTTGATACAAAGATTATCTACCATGACCTTTTTAGATATGTGAAAGGTCCAAGCCTTAACATCCGCCATCTCTGTAACATGCAGAGTAATCCTCTTGACAAGTTATTCTCTCATAGAAACCCCTCCCTGAAAAACCCAATGATTGTGCCCTCCCAAAGCATCCAAATAGTGGTGAAGAAAGGGGAATGCCACACATTAAGGAGCCGCACGAATTTGAACCTATAGGAAATTCAAGTCCTCAATATAAATGCAATGGATTGGATTGAGCCATGAAAACGTTTGCCACACCTCCATGCAAGGGATCTCCAAATACCTTGCAAGAAAGAACAATGAAATAATAAGTGGCAAATATTTTCATTGTTAGACTGGCATAAGGGACATATTTGTGCCTTGATAATTCCTTTCCGTTGCAATAAAGAGGAAGTGGGAAGTCCCTGATGAAGAGCTAACCAAAAAACCCATTATGCTCTAGGATGGTAATGCGAAGCCCATATGGCCCTGAAAGTCAGTTGTGGAGTGCCCCGTCATCGAATATGATCCTATGCATCTTTAACTGAGAAGAAACCATTAGCATAATGGATCCAAACCAAGAAGTCTCTCTGGGGACGTAGATGGAGTGTAAAGGTCATAATCTCATTCCAAACTCGAATGAGAGGGTCAGATGTAGGAGTGGGAAGGCTCCATTCTTGATAAGAGACTTGCAAATACTTTGCCACTTTTGGCTTGGCAAGAACACCCATATCTCTATGTATATTATATCCATAAGATTCTCAAATAGATTGTTTAGAGAGCCACGGGTCTGCCCAAAAATCCACCTAACGACCATTCCCAATAATCCATCTGACATTATGTCGAATATAAGACAAACCCAATTGGATGCCCTTCCATACCTAAGAACAATTCTTCCTCCTGATCACCCAAATGGATGAGTCTTTAAAGTATTTGTGCTTGAAGAAACGTGATACGTTGGCAATAACTCTCCATGCTATTTTTTTTAGTCACAAAGTTCGAGATTTTTTTTTTTTTTTTAACTTTGTGTCTATTCAATGACACTCTTACAACTACCTATTTTGAAATTTAAGGACAAT